TTTTGTATTTTTAGTAGAGTATTTTAGTAGAAATTTAGTTTCACCATGTTGGCCAGGTGGGTCTTGAATTCCTGACCTCAAGTGATCCACCTGCCTCAGCCTCCCAAAGTGCTGGGATTATAGGCATGAGCCACTGCACATTCCCCATCTGAGATTATTAAAACTCATGTAATCATGTATATCTGCACCAAGGCAAGACTGAAGTGAGGCCAGTGAGAAACGTAGCCCTGGCCCTGATACGCACCATAGATTAGAACAAGTTGGTAAGTAGAATGGGGTCCATACCAATGAAGAGGAGTGGTCACCCCTGGTTTGGGTCGACCAGTGAACTGTTATTGGCCTGAAGTTAATGAGACTCTGCAGCAGTTGTCAGTCTTAACTGCACAATGAAATCATCTGAAGGAGCTTTAAAAAATATTCTTTCCTGGGCCCCACCTCTAGAGATTCTGATTTGTTTCAGGTGTTGTCAGGGTATGCCCTATATTGGAGTGTTTTAACTCATCCCAGGTGATTCTAATTACTGTGCAGCCAAAGTTGAGAACCATTGCTCTTCATACTGCCTTATACAACCTGGACAACTATAAAGGGATTGGTAAAGTTCTCAGGGAGAACAGGTATGTGGTTTTACCAGAGTTGGAAGAGACTTTTTTATTATCACTTGAGACTCAGAGAGATTCTAGCAATAGGAGGAGCCAGAAAGTTCTTTTATTTTTTTAATTTTAAAATTTAAAAATAGGGACAGAGTCTCACTATGTTGCCCAGGCTGGTCTTGAATTCCTGGGCTCAAGCAATCCTCCTGCCTCAGCCTCCCGAAATGCTAGGATTACAGGTGTGAGCCACCATGCCTGGCCTAGAAAGTTCTCATACCATGGGGACTAGGCCTCTTTTCTCAAGGGCAAGGGACAATATGTTTAAAATACTTGGGCATAGGAGCAACCCAACAGCCCCAAACCTGGAGCTCTCAAAGGGATGGGATGAATTACCGCTGTCGGTTCTAAGTATTAGAGACAGCTGCTCAGGCTTTTGAAGAAATGGCAAGGAACAGAAAACTGAAAATATCCTCAAGGAGTCAGATTCTAACCCAAAAGAAAAGCTTCTGGACATTGATTGAAATATACATGACACTGCAGGAGGGGAAGGTATCATAAGGGGAAAAATTCAGTGGTTTGTGAAAGGTCTGGATGGAGACAGTGGTTATCCCATTAGGGGGCAAAGTCAGGTTCTTACAGGTACACATGGTCTCTCTTGAATAGAGGTCACTTCCAGATCTGTCACCACAGAAGAGGTGTCCCAAAGGAAAAATAAACAAAGTGAGAGAGAGTTGGGTAGGCAGTACTCATTCTGGCTTGCCTGGGACTTCCAAGTTGGTTTTATTTATTTATTTATTTATTTATTGAGACAGGGTCTCCCTGTGTCACCTAGGCTGGAGTGCAGTGGGGAGACCTTGGCTCACTGCAACCTTTGCCTCCCAGGTTCAAGCGATTCTCATGCCTCAGCCTCCGAGTAGCTGGGACTACAGGCATGTGCCACCATGACTGGCTAACTTTTTTTTTTAGTAGAGACAGTGATATGGTTTGGCTGTGTCCCCACCCAGATCTCATCTTGAATTCCCACATGTTGTGGGAGGGACCTTGTGGGACATAATTGAATCATGGAGGCAGGTCTTTCCTGTGTTGTTCTCGTGATAGTGAGTAAGTCTCATGAGAGCTGATGGTTTTAAAAAGGGGAGTTTCCCTGCACTTGCTCTCTCTTGTCTGTTGCCATGTGAGATATACATTTCCACCATGATTGTGAGGCTTCCCCAGCCATGTGGAACTGTAAGTCCATTAAAACTCTTTCTTCTGTAAATTGCCCAGTCTCAGGTATGTCTTTATCAGCAGTGTGAAAACAGACTAATACAGATGAGGGTTCCACAATGTTGGCCAGGCTGGTCTTGAAACCCTGACCTCAAGTTCTCCACCCGCCTCAGCCTCCCAAAGTGCTGGGATTATAGGCTATGAGCCGCTGCACCCGATGAGACTTCCAAGTTTTTATACTGGAAGTCCTGTATCCCAAGAAACCCTTTGGTCCCAAGAAAGAAACCCTATGTCCCAAGAAAGTTCCAGACAACCCACAATAGCTGATCAAGCTACTACACAGGGAAGGGGGTCATCTATCTCAGACCTGGACTTGGAGAAGAATGAACGTCGACATGTATCCTCCTTTAGAGGATGAGTCCTGTATTAGGCTGAGAAGCAGAACCAAAACTGAGACTCTCATGCAAGTGGTTTATTGATGGAGTGCTCTTAGGAGAAGGGGAGTGAGGGAAGCAGCATAGAACAGGAAAAAAAAAAAAAATTAAGTAAGAATGTGCTCTCAGAAGAAGACTGACTTCAGCCTGATTCCATGAGGAGCTCTGGGGAAGGAAGTTCCTCGATGTAAGAGGTCAGTCTTTTGTACCTCCATACAAGAGGTAGCAATTCTTTTCTAGAGATGGTCTCAAAATTAGAATACATCAAAATCACTTGGAGGGTTTGGTAAATCAGAATGCTGTGCCAACCCCTGGAAATTCTGATTCGGTAAGTCTGGGGTGGGGTCTGAGAATTTGTATTTCCAGCAAGTTCACAGGTAATGCTGATGATGCACTTTGAAAACCTCCACTCTAGAGAAGAGGACAGCTCTGAGGTTTTAGCACCCACAGCATCTCATAAAGGGGATCAGGAAAGCACCTGCTACATGAGGGCACATGCCAGAGACAGATGGATTGGACCACAAGCTGGGGCTAGGTAGACTACATCTTTAGGTCAGAACATCTAGATTCACAGTATCTTGTATGTTCCTGTTGTCATCCCACATCTCTTGCCAACGCATTGTTGAAACATTCTTAAAGATACATGAGGCTTTGAAGAGGAAGCAGCTGCAAGTTGCTAGGCAAATATAGTGGTGTCAGTTGCAATAGAGTGGAAAGTCCTTAAATGGGAGATCAATATTTAGGGGCAAGGCTCTAGACCAACCCTGGAAATTGCCTGATATTTGTGAAATTAAAGGGAAATGGCATTGATGGCAACTTTTAATTTCATAAGCCATGCCAGAACTCGTAATAGTCTCTGCTCCTGAGTATCACCACCAGGTGAAGGTGAATGAATAAATGTTAAAATGGAATTCGTTTCTTTTGGTGGGGTATGTCAGGTAGAACTTGGAGAATACCTTGTACCCCTGGGCCTTAATGTCCATCTCCAGGCAGTGCATGAGGTCACTGTTGTCTAGCACTGCCTTCCAGGGCCCAAACTTGACAACGGACTTGAACATCTTCTTATCCTGCAGAAAACACAGGACCTCTGAATAATATGCATCCTGCTCCTCCGTTTCCACCAGGCACACAAGCACGCTGGACTTCCGCGCTGTTATGGCCTCTGCACGCGCCAGGCGCACCATGAGCTCCAGGTTCTCGCCATAGCCCGGCACTTGCAGGAGAAACTGCTTCCGAGACACCTGCTCACCAAAGATCTGCGGCATGTCCTCCAGCAGCTTGACTAAAGGCTTGATTTCATAGAACTGAGCCTCACGGTACACTTCAGGGATGTGCTGTGTGGGCACTTGCCCAGTGCGCAGGTAGTCCAGGATGGGTCTGAAATAGGTGCTGGGGCGGTCGATGAAGAAGCGGCCCTCTGCATCCATGGAGGCCTTGGCTGAGCTAGAGAACATCTCTGCCAACTTTGAGCCTGGAAATTTCCTCAGGGTACCCAGGGTGGTCGTGTGGAACTCACCCCCCACGTTCAGCTCCACAACAGTAGACATCTGGGGGCACAAGAGGCAGAGTAAACCAACACACCGTCTCCCCTGAGCTCATGACTTATTTTTATCCAAAGAATAACTGGATTAAAAACTTAGGGGAGCCATAATGTTTGGCTTCGGCTAGTGAAAGGCCCATCTTACTAAAGAGGGTTGTATTGATGCTGTGTTGCTCCAGGGGGTGGCTTTTTTTTTTAGACAGAGTCTCGCTCTGTCGCCCAGGCTGGAGTGCAGAGGCACAATCTCGGCTCACTGCAACTTCCACCTCGATTAAAGCAACTCTTCTGCCTCAGCCTCCCTAGTAGCTGGGACTACAGGCGCCCGCCATCATGCTCGACTAATTTTTGTATTTTTAGTAAAGACGAGGTTTTGCCATGTTTGCTAGGCCGTTCTCAAACTCCTGACCTCACACGATCCGCCTGCCTCAGCCTCCCACAGTGCCCGGCCGAGGGTGGGCATTTTAAGGAGGAAGAAAGGTTTCTGTTTGAAAAAAGAATACCCATTCAAGCATCTTAATTTTAGGTCATAGAATGTTATGGGAGGAGGCCAGGCACGGTAGCACACGCCTGTAATCCCAGCACTTTGGGAGGCTGAGGCAGGCAGATCACCTGAGGTCAGGAGTTCGAGACAAGCCTGGCCGACTTGGTGAAACCCTGTCTTTACTAAAAATACAAAAATTAGCCAGGTGTGGTGGCACGTGCCTGTAATCCCAGCTGCTCGGGAGGCTGAGGCACAAGAATCACCTGAACCTGGGAGGCGGAGGCTGCAGTGAGCCAAGATCACCCCACTGCCCTCCAGCCTGGGTGACAGAGTAAGACTCTGTCAATATATATTGTAATATTGTAAGACTCTGGACTCTGTCTTACAAAAGCAGAAGAATGTTATGGGAAGAGGCTGCCATGGAAGGAAGTCTCAGCAATGATACTTCCAAAGTCTGTGGCCTTCGGCAAGCCTTTTTCCCTAAGGCCTCAGTCTCCTCATCTATAAAATGGGGATATTGGCTGGGCATGGTGGCTCATGCCTGTAATCCCAACACTTTGGGAGGCCATGGCAGGAGGATCACTTGTGGCCAGGAGTTGGAAACCAGCCTGGGCAACATAGCGAGACCCCATCTCTATTTTTTTTAAATAGGTTTAAGGGAAAAAAATTTTTTTAAAGTAAAGGCCAGGCATGGTGCCTCACGCCTATAATCCCGGTACTTTGGGAGACCAAGGTGAGTGGATCACTTGAGACCAGGAGTTCAAAACCAACCTGGCTAACATGGTGAAACCCCATCTCTACTAAAAATACAGTAATTAGCCGGGCATGGTAGCACACGCCTACAGTCCCAACTGCTCGGGAGGCTGAGGCAGGAGAATCACTTGAACCCAGGAGGCAGAGGTTACAATGAGCCGAGATCGTGCCACTGCACTCCAGCCTGGGCGACAGAATGAGAGTCCAACTCCAAAAAAAAAATAGGAAGTAAAATGGGGACATGGAGTTGTTACGAAGTCAAGAGTTCCCAACCTGGGATGCTCAGCTCTGATCTAAGATATAATAAAAGCCAGGAGTAAGGGAGGAGGGACACTTCCAACATTTCAGAAAGACGAAAGAAACCATACATGTGTTCATTTGGGAAGCATTTCTTGGGTATTTACTATGTATCCACATCCTGTGCTGGGAGATGGGGACAAAAATTCTTATTTCACGTAGATCAGAAGTTCTGGTTAACAGTTGGCATGACCTTGATTGATTTAAAAATGGGATTTTTTCTTTTTTTCTTTTTTTTTTTTTTGAAACAGAGTCTCACTCTGTCGCCCAGTCTAGAGTACAGTGATGTGATCTTGGCTCACTACAACCTCAGCCTCCCAGGCTCAAGCAATTCTCGTGCCTCAGCCTGGGAGCTGGGATGGCCACCCTGTAGCTGGGATTACAGATGTACAGTGCACAACCAAGCCAGGCTAATTTTTGTATTTTTAGTAGAGACTGGGTTTCACCATGTAGGCCAGGCTGATCTCAAACTCCTGACCCCAATCTGCCCACCTCGGCCTCCCAAAGTGTTGGGATTACAGGCGTTAGCCATAGTGCCTGGCCAGAAAATTGAATTTTTTTTAACAGATGGGATCTTGCTCTGTTGTTGCCGAGGCTGGGGGTGCAGTGGCATGATCATAACTTACTGCAGCCTTGAACTTGGGCTCAGGTCATCCTCCTGCCTCAGCCTCCCAAGTAAATGGGACTACAGGACATTCAACACTGTATCTGGCTACTTTAAAAAAATTTTTTTTAGAGATGGGTCTTACTGTGTTGCCCAGGCTGGTCTTGAACTCCTGGCTTCAAGGCTTCCTCCTGCCTGAGCCTCCCAAGCTTGTGGGATTACAGGTGCAAGCCACCTCGCCTAGCATAAATGGAATTTGTTTGATGAATGTTTTTCCAAATATGGTCCCATGGGACTCCAATAATAACAGGAATATTCTTGGTAATGAAAAGGCCAGTAACTCTACATATTGTGGGTGTAAAACTGCGTCATGAACTGTGAAGTGCAGTGCAAATGCAAGTTAAGTTTGGTTGTTCAACAGAACTTTTAGAGGCCACCTCTCTGTGCCAGACCCTGGGCTGAGCACTAAGACTGGTTATTAAGTGATGATGTCAGAATTTGAACTCAGGTCCATTTTACTCCAAGCTTGAGCTCTTAGTGATTACATAAATGAATTACCTTCAGTCTTCCAATACCTTCACTCTTCATTCCCTTAGTGACTCATTCATTCAACAAAATGTATGCCTAGTGGGAAGGTTGGTGGAAAGAGGGATATGGAAACAGACAGTCTAGTAACTCTGTGTAGTGCTTTAAATGGATTATCTAATTCAGCCCTCACAACACTTCCATGAAGAACATATTAAATCTCCATTTTACAGAAGAAGAAACTAAGGCTTAAAGAGCTGAAGAAAGTTGCCTGAGACTGGCTATTAAGTGATGATGTCAGAATTTGAATTCAGGTCCGTTTTACTTCACGCTGGAGCTCTTAGTCATTACATAAATTACCTTCAGTCTTCCAAGACCTTCACTCTTCATTCCTTTAGTGACTCATTCGTTCAACAAAATGTATGTTGGGCCTATTACATGCAAACCTTGTGCCAAACAGAACAGGACACAGTCCCTGCTTTCAAGGAACTCACAGGGGAGAGGGAAACAGATGGCTTAAGCACGTAGGTGCTGAGAGGGAAGACTCAAAGGTAGGAGGGGTCAGGTCTTTTTGTGGATGTGTATCGGAGGCTGTCAGAGAAGGTTTCCTAAGGGATGTGACGGCTGCTGCTGCGGAGTAGATACGTGGTGTTAGAGGGAAGGCTGGATTTCCAACCTGAAGATTTTACCACAAGAGTGGGGATGGGGCCAGGGCTCAGGAATGTCACTCAGTCTGATTTAGGTGTGTCCTCATTCTCAACTGGTCTGTGGGCTCTCCTTCTAAGATTAAAGTACTGGAGTTAAGAGAGCCAAAGGCAGGCC